TTGTTCTCGAGCATCCTAATGCCGTTGCTGCAGCCAATCACTGCACAGCAGCTCTGCCAACAGGCTTCGCCAATCAGCCTACCGTTTCGGCCTCTGCAGTCCAAGTAAGCAATAGAGCCTTCACTTAGATTGACCCAATTGTGAAGAATTTTCGGCCTTGGTGCGAGTCAAAGCCACACAGTAGGGAAGGATTTGGCGCAGCCAACGCTCTCCGATTGAGCTACGAGGCTCACCGTGAGCCGTAAATTCAAACACACTTGGATCATTTTTACCCGCCCACCTTACTACTCGTATGGAATCCACCAATACGGACGCAGTAAACTGACTGCCAGGCAGGATTTCCTTAGTAATCTTCTAGGATCCACTGGATGCATTACTGGGCTAAGCTTGGTTGTTAGGGGTTTAGCAGATTTCAATAATTCGATTGACCCACTTGTGAAAAATTCGTCTTCACTTTCAAAAGCTCCTATACTCGAGCTCATTCAGCCTGCTCTTTTCTGTCCCTCTTATTGCTCCACCCCTTTACCTCAAACCTAATCTTGTACCTGGCGTGTAGCCAAACTGCCGCAGTCCACAGCTATGGTTTCTCGCCCAGCAACAACAACCACGCCGCAGTGGGCGGGTCTCATGATGCCGTTACGTACACAATTACTTAAGTATGGTTGTTAATTGTTATTATGCGGCCTTATCTTAATATATTTTAGTCATGAAAGGGTACCGGCTTTTGATCGACCCTCTTCCTGACCGACTGCAAAGAGCATACTCTGTAAAAATTGGCTATTTAAGTGATTCAATTCACGGCTCACGGTGAGCCTCGTAGCTCAATGGTAGGGCGTTGGCTGCGCCAAAAAGCATTCCTTGCCGTGTGGGTTCAACTCCCACCAAGGCCGCGAATTTTTCACAATTGGTTCAACTGAATTAAGCAAATTTGCTAAATCCCCCTAACATTTCAGAATTGTGGGGACCTTCTAATGAGATAGGAAATCTACTGTACGTGTGAACTTCTTATATGCTCCCTGTACAGAGACTGGTCGTATAATAGGTGCTTCTTTTCATATGCTTAAATATGAGGACTTTTTTGCTTTTACAGTTGCCATCAATGCGTCAGAGCATCGAGAAAGTCGAAAAGCGTAAGGGCACCTCCTACAAAGTATTTCTTCTGCAAATGCTGGGCTTCTTTGTGGGCTTTGGCTGTGTGATCGGTGTCACCATCTCCAGTGACTACATAAACTTGTAAGAGCCAGCCTCTGCCGAGTTCA